ACACAAGAGCGAGACTCAGTCAAGATTGCTGACAAGGAGCAGGAGCTGCCGCAGTGCAAAGGTGCACTGCAGCAGCACGAGGGTGTGATTGAATTGCCATTAGCTCCCCTAGGACACAAGGCTTCCCACTAACTTGGTTTGTTTTAATTTCACAGTGAGGTGACACCACTTCCTTGACATTGCCCCTCCATTTCCCGTTAAATGTATAGGCCTGACTTGACCGTCCCTATGCTGAAATCAACACACAGGCTTAGTAAACTTAAGTAAAGTTTAAGTAAGGACTGTGCTGCTGGCACTTTCCACAGCACCACACCCTCTTACCTCTTCTTCCCATTCAGGCACTCCTAACTCTTCTGACTACATCTTTTTTTTTCCCCTTTTTCTTAAGTTACTTGGTATCTGCTCCATCTAATCTTCTCATCCACTTTGAATGGGACCAACCAGTTCTGCTTCCAGACACAGCCTGACCCTTACATGATTATGTCAGTAAAAGACAGTTGATTTGTTTTGTTTTTTTTTTTACTACAGGAGAGTAAAACCTATCAGGCACAGGTGCACTGAGGTATAAATGTGCTTTGTGCAGGTACACTGTAGACTCCCTCCCAAGAGGAATGCAGGGGAGTTGGAGCAGTGCAATGGAAGTCAGTGCTGATCTTTTTTACACGTGCACATGAAGCATGTGTGGCTTCTGCACACACAAAAAACCAAGATTAGCACATGTGGGGCCTCTCCCTCTCTGCCTCTCAATGGTGGGCAGCAACTGAATGCACCTTCTTTCAGCTGCCAAGCAATGGTAACCATCTAAAGGCAGCTTGAAAGGGGAACAGATTTGCTCAGACTTCCTTCACTCCTACCTTCTACCCAAATTAATGTTGGAGTAGATAAGGTTGGAAGGCATTTTCCTTCCCTTTTTTAAACCTTTCCTTAATTTAAATGGTCTGACTCATCAGCAACACAAAGATGACAAAATGTCTATTCTCTCTCCCTCTCCCCCGCCTCCCCCAAATATTTTGGCATGATTTTGCTATCAAATTAGGGTATTCAATCCATGCCAGCTGGGAAAAAAAAAAAATATATGGGCTCCCAGCACACTCATTGTATATGATTAAGATTTAGGGAGAGTGTGGAGCATAACATCATCATAGGCAGAAAGTGAAAACAGCCAAAGGAAACGCCTACACTCTTCCTTTATAAAAGCTGCTTGTTGTGTCTGTCTGAACAATTGTTAAAAAACCTGGAGGGGAATTAGAAGGAAAAAGATAACTGACTTTATTAAGAGCAAAAGATTGATTGAGCAATTGATTGCACTTAATTGGAATGGTGCGAGCAAAGGAGATGATTTCAGGATTGGGTTGTTTTTTTTTTTTTTTTTCCTCGTCTTGTAGACAGTCCTGCCACAAACAGTCAGGAGACTGAGTTACCAAGCTGAGAGCTTAGGTCTGCTCCTTCTCCCAGGGCATTTCTTGCCTGGAAGCAGCTGTCTGGAAGATCTACCCCTTCCACAGCACTGCCAATTGCAATAGTTGAGGCCTCAGAAAGAAGGAGGAACTTGAGAGTCACAAGGTTAAACTACAGAGATTGGTTTGTTCATATGTTTCTTCCCAGAGCTTTTATTTTTTGCTTCTGGGGTATGCTCACACTCATAGGATGCTTTCCTCTCAAACAATAAGGTCTAGAAACTCTTTTTTTTTTAACAGAATGGAAAAATTCTCTTCTTGTCAGTCCATTTCAGGAGTGGAGTTCTTAAAAGAAAAAAAATGTTATCCAATTCATAATAATAAAACCTGGAAGAATTATATTACTCACTAACCAAAGGGACAGAGACAAAATTCTTATGAGGAATATTTTCATGAAGTAGATCTTCATTTTCTGGAACTATGCACATATTAATGAAGCTGTAGCATAAGCGGGAACTAGCTCAGGGTTTCACAATCTTTTCCCCCAAAACAGTCCTCAAGGGGAAAATGATTATGTGCATGAACAGTTAAAATAAAAACAAACCCTGAGACCCTTTGAATGAGCTGATTCCTGTTAATGTATTGTTATTACCTTACTATATATCACTTTCATTTTCTTTTTAAGCAGCAGGAAGGACAGACATTCATACTGCACAAATAAGAGTGTGATTTCCAGTGAAAAGTGAAAACAAAGGTTTCAGCGGTTAGGTTTGTATTTGCTTTGTTTAAAATCAAATTACGAGGTAAGTGGGCCCCAAACTTATCTAAACAGGGCTGTCAGTATGCAGACTCACAGGGTCATTGGAGCCGGAAGAGACCAGATCAACACCACCTTGTTTTGTGATCACCTCATGTTAATAAATACCCTCTTGCTTGTGAAGGCAGGGAGTGGAACTGGATGGTCAGGATGCCCTGTGTGAGGTTATTTTCTACTCTGCCAGGTGCTGGCAGCTGGTACTCTGTAGAGCTGCATGCTCTGAGGATGCATTTCACATCCACTAAGCTCATTTGCCTACTCTAAGCAACACCAGAGGCATTACCCAAGTACTTGTGGATGAGCAACTCTTAGTAAGAAAGCAAAACAAGAGAAAACAGAGGGGCACCATTGCAAGAGCAAATGGCCAGTGTTGCAGATTGAGGAAATAACGAATGGACAGACAGACACAGAAATGGTAGGACTGAACAACTGTCTTGTGATCTTCCTGCTCACAAAAAACTGAAGAGCTGTCTTCTGTCCTTCTGCTTCACAAAAAAAAAAAAAAAAAAAAAAAAAAAAAAAAAAATTCTGAAAGCAAAAGCATTAAAAGCAGCACCAATTTCTCCACTACCCTTTCTCATTTTCCACTGAGAGCCAAGAGCTACATGGTTACAGCAAGAAGACTAAGGAAACAAATACAGTGACATTTTTCATATCAAATTGACCAAGGGGAAAACCAAAATGGGGATGAACCAGCATGGGCTTTTCTCTCCTGGTCAGATACACACCTCCTGTGCCAGCAACCACCATTGCCAGCCTCCTATAGGCCTCCTGCAAGCCTCACCACAGCCACCTTCTTTTCTGCCACAAGTTACCATTTTTCCAGGTCTGATGGCTGAGCTGCTCATCCAAGCACTCCCTCATCCATTCTAGTGAGAACATGCCAGGTCAGCTAACATGATTTACCATATAGGTCTTTCTTAACCACGTTCATTTGGACTAAGGTGGGTTGGGAAAGCAGAAGGTGAGTGATTCCACCAACAGACCTGAGAAGTCACTGATCTGCGGCAGGGGGACAGTGATCAGTCATAGGAAAAAATCAACCCTGATAGCCAAGGGATTTCATGTCACTGAGCCTTTACAGCCCTATGTGCTCTGTGCCCACCCTGTACAGGACCACTGGAGCACTCATGCACACAATTCTCTTTTTCTTGCAGATGGCCACATCACTCTGCAGCTACAATTACCTGTGCCTAGTGCTCGTTAAGTGCTTTGAAGATTAAAAGCACAGATACAAGTGTTAAATATTGTAATTATTCATACTACGTAACATTGCTGCACTGAAAGCAGGGAGGGGTTGTTTTTTTGTGTTTGTATGTGGGAATACCATGACAGCTGCTCCTTTCTGTATGTGAGTTGCTGCCAAGGACCTTGATAAGGGATTGTGCTTGAAGGAAAAGAACTGAGTCTGGGAGTTTTCTTGGAGTGCTGCATACCACAGTGAAATTAAACTGTTCTCTTACCAGGCTTCCACATTCAGAGCTTATTTCTGTATGTGCTGATTACCCTGAGCTGCATCTGGCTCCAGAAGGAGCAGAAATTACTCTCTGCAGCACAGCAGGGCTTGGTCCTACAAGCAGCGTGCAGAGGGAAACACGCTCAGGTCAGACAAACAACTCCAGAGCAGCCCTGCAAGCACCAAATCCTGAAGTCCATGTTTCTGATGTATTCAGTTCACACTCGGGGCTTTATGGAAGAGCTATCCCTGAAAGAATCCGGGGCAGATAGGAGTTTAGTATCTTCTTTCCATTAAGGACACTTTCTCACCTTTCAGCACAGCAAAAGACTTGAGCCGGACCATGGTTTTCCCACACACTGCACTCTTCTCCTGCTGTCTTCCTGGCACTGACTCACCCAGCCCAAATGCCCAGGGGGAGCAGACAGGCCAAAACCCCTGGCTTTACTCTGTTCTTCTGTCAGAAATAGGTGGGAGGATGAAGTTGTGAGACCAGCACGTAGTTCATTACTACCTTGCTGCTGCTTCAAATTATGTCAGGAGTTGGGCTGACACCTTACCTGGCTCTCTAGCCAAATACAAACAAGACTGGTCTGAATTTGGGTCATGTCTGTGGACAAAGCCATGAGTGACCTCTTCAGTCTGTGTCATGGTGTTAAGTGTATTTCTGTGCACTCCTGGTTGCTGTAATACAGCACATACAGCCAAAGATGGTAGCATTTAATCAGGCAGTGCTTCTCTAGGTGCACTGGGACTTCATCTGAGCTAAGATCTAAAAGAAATCATTTGAACTGCTGTTTATAGGCCTCATACCTTTCCTTCCCTGCTCTGCAACAGCCCTGGCCAGATCTGAGCCTCTCCGCATGAAGAGGCAAGTAGATGCCATGGCCCAAGACTAAATGATGCTATGACCCATCTCCTTCACACTGTCAGGCAGCTTTTGGGAAGAGATGGGAACTCTGAAAGGCTGGGGAGCAACTTTGCCTCCCCCTTCTGCACTCTCACTCACACATATGCAATTCTGAAGATGTAAAGCCACAAAAAGGTTGGGCTGTTCCCACTGGAAGAGAAAATATCAAAGTAAAGTAAGCACCTGAAAACTTACCCTCTCAAAGAGGATAAACATAAGTACAGGCAGCTGCTGATGTTAGGGGCAGGCATCAAGTTGATAAGACCCAGCTTAAGAGGTGTTCAAGAACCTGCAGCTTCCCTCGACTCACAGGGCTTGAAGGTGTGCTAAGAAATCCAAGCCATGTTTCAGCCCCACAAAAAGCCCATGTTTTAATCTGAAACCTACTGACAGCAACAGCACTGGATTTGGGATTAGATATTTGGGATTGTACCTTCAGTATCTTGCGCAAAAAGTATATTTTCCTGTATTTTAAAAGGGGTGAGGAGGACAAAAGAAAAAGTATTAAAATATATGTTCACTTTAGAGCACTTTTAAGCTCATAGGGCAGCTTGGGAGAAGGCAGGAAGGTAGCAGAGGATGAAGGACTAGCAAAAAAAAGAAACCTGGGTGTGTCACAGGGGAAGGGAAAGGTTGTAGGAGGAAGCGTGGGAGGCAATGCAGACAAGCTTACTAAATTGCAAGGCAAAACGTGGATTTTGTCCCCAAGCAAAACACCTCGGTAGTGCTGTCAGGTCAAGCTAATAAAGAGAGATCTTCAGAGACTACGATGTCTGTCTGTATTTCCTCTGTCACTAAGAGGAAAAATAATTAATAAGCACCTTCTGTCTGGCAATCAGCAACTATTTACATCAGCCTATGTGAAGATGGCAGCTCCCGATCACAAAGTACTCCTTCTCCTCAGCAGTGCATCTCCTGCTCTGTAGCTGCTGTCTGCAACGCTGCACCTGACTCAGAAGAAGCCCCTTTCAGAAGGGGCTGAAGGTGGGCAGCACCTCCTGTACGGGCTATAGAGAGAAACTCACTTTAGAGGCTTCTAAAGTCTCAGGAGGTTTTGTGCAGGCATAAAAGCCAAGCTCCAGTATTGGCAGAGTCTTTGCAACAGAGGATTTGCTGTAAAGTGTAAGCATTACTGGCGAGATGCAAAATTCACAGTGAATTCAGTAACTAATAGCACAGCTTCCTTTGTTTACTATGCAGAGGACACAAGAAAATTAAGCTAATCTGGTGCTTGTCCAAGCCACTGCTAAAAACATTTTTGACAAAAGCTGACCTCTTTGCTCCTGAATAAATATTAGCCATTTGTTTGCGCATTATGCAGCCAGTTTGGTAGACAGGCAAGAAAAAACGAGCAAAGAACTTATTCGGTCATTTTTTTTCCCTCACCAATTGTCAAATAAATTATTCACAAATACAAGCTTCCATCATTCATCCAGCACTAGACTAAACACTTTCTACTAAACTTAGTTTTCAGCATCATGTTTCAGTTTATAGTTACGTTTTTCCCTGGGCAAAGTGAGCCAGTCATTAGACAACTCTCATAGGTTTCCACTAAACATGCTTGATTAAGTCTTTTAAGAAGGAGTAGGTAGAGGAAATTGTGCTTTAAAGTCAATGGGAACATTTCCATTCACTTCAATGGGAAATGCGCTGGAAGAGATAACATTATTTTGAGGAGTTAACGAGTATATTTAAGTTTGTACAAAAAAAAACAAAACCCTATGCCACTGTTGCACACTGCACTTTGTGAGGGACAGCTTTCAGAGTAAGAAACCAATCTCAACACTGAACTGCCTAAACCAGCAGTTTTCCCTAACACCACCTCCTGGTCTTTCCTGGCACATAATGCACACACATGAAATCCAGCAGCATCATCCAAGCTCTAGTCTTGCTCACTCTTCAGTGGCTGAACTTCTGTGACTGCATTCAACGTGGTGGTGCTGAGCTGGTACAGGTGCTCATCTTTAATTTCTCCAAGCCAGAGCCACAGCTGATGCAATTCAGTTTAATGGCTTGAGGATCTGGACTCATTTGAAAGGGAAAGAAGAATATGAAAAAATTAAATAAAATAATTTTAAACATTAATTTCAAACACTAATTTGAATATGAATTTCTGGACTGATTTACTGCAATGCCACACAGCCGTGCAAGTTCAGGATGACACACAAGCAAGAGACCTCTGACACAAAATAACTACATGAAGCTCCTACATTTGGAATTTCTACAGGTAGGCAATTTGAAAAATAGGCACACATCAAGAGCACATCTTTGCTGCAAGTCAGCAAGAAAACTCCGTGTCATTAATTTCTTCAAAGACATTTAGATGGATGCTGCCATTCCCCTAAATTTAGGAGAAAGAAGGACATGATGTACTATTCAGTCTATGCAAATCCATGATGAACACTACTGAGTACAACACCTGTGCTCACCTCTGCAGAAAACAATCATTTTAATCGGGTGGTTATCATGAGCTCTTTTCTTCCAAAGGAAATGGTCTATTTTACCAGACCAATCAGTTCCAGATAAATCCTTGAAGAGCATCCCCCAAGAAAATTATGCTTATTCATTATTAGCACATCAACTCAAGATCCCAGGCACAGTCGGTGTACAAATGTAGAACACAAGGCAATCCCTACCCTGCTGAGATTACAATCTCAAAAGTCATAGGTCAAAACAAAACAAAAAAAACAAAACAAAACCAAAATAGACAAACAGGCTCAGCAAATGTTGAAAGCTAGAGGTGTGGTGGAGGGCTCACATTCCTTCTCTTGTGTAGATGCAACACATGCCCAACCTCTGGAGGGAAACAGATGCATGGGAGAGACATGAAACTATTCCCATGGCCCAGGCTGGCCATCCCTACCACTGCAACCTTCTTTTACAGAGCTCTCTCCTATCCAGAACTGTTGTTGTTCCAATTGTAGGTGTGCCTATGGTGAATATTAAGCACAACATATCTAGATGTAAGACTCATAACCTTCTCTCCTTCACTCAGCACACTTGGCAGGTTCAGCTCAGAGCTTTCTAAAGGGCCAACGTTTGGAAGTCTTGCTGCCTGCATTTTTTTTTTTCCAGAACCTGTGCTTTAGACCTTCAAGCTCAAGGCCTAAGTAACAAGGAGAGAGGCAATAGTGTAAAAAGCTATGTGACTCTTACCAAAATGTGTCACTTAAGTCACTCCATCCAAAAACCACGAGGATCTGGCCAGAGTTGAGACCTGTAAAATACAGAGATACGTGGTGCAGAGCTGATAAGAACCTTCCCTTCAAATTTGTCCCACAGCCCAAGACATTATCTATTGAATCAGACCCTGCGGGTACTTAGACGCCACTCTGCCTACTTTTTGGATCCCACTGGGATTTAGGCTGAAAACAGGTGCCAAGATGCTCTGACTCAGGCGGTTGCAGGCATGCCCAGCAGCAGAGCTATCCGTGCTGGGGGAACACACAGCTACGAGATGGAGGCAGCAACCGAGGATGGATGTCTTCAAGGTTAGATGGTTGCTCTGCATGGGGCAAAGGGACATTGCCACGATTTTGGGCTACGTGGCCTGAACTCCACTTATGCCCTGTTGCAAGTGACAAAGCTCCCCTCTGAAGGTGGCCTTCATAAAAAGCCATCCAGGATTCCTCCACGCTGTTCTCTCCACTTAATTTAAGTACTCCTAATCAGGAAATCTACTTAATTGGAATATCTCTGTTAAAAATCAGGGGTGCTTACTAACAATGACTGCATCTTGATCGGGATGGTAATATCACTTAATTGGGATGCCTTCAGGTATCTTAGTGGTTTAGGTTTTTTATGTCTCAAGCTCAAGCTAGTTTTGTCTGTCTGCTCCTCATAAAACAGCTTTCAGTTCCTCCTTAGTAATGATACAGGCAAACGATGATGTAATTTACTTTAACATTTTTTGCTTCTGGCTGTTAGTTGGTGTGGGAGGGGCAAATTACCTGTTTCTGTGGGTGTTCTTGCCACAGGGACGGTTACAGTAGTTGCAGTCTCCATCCCATGCAAACACTTCTGCCTCCAACAGCCTCCCTGTCACACAGCACCTCTCCAAAAGGCTCTAGTGAATAGAGAAAGGCTGGCTTATGCTACCTGGCAAGTTCATCTAAACTGCGAGAAAGATACCAACCAGAGTGTCCTATACCGAGTATTCCCTTTGTAACTGATGTTTCAATGTTTGCAGTGTCTACAAGTCTTGAGACCAAAATTGTGTGCTAAAAGAAAGCTGCGAATCTGCCTTTGAACCAACAAACCACACTTACACCTCACTCACAGTGATACATGTGGAATTATTTTTAAATGCAAGACTTGACGAAGAATCTCTATCTCTATTTTAGAGGTTGTTATCAGGTTAAATAGAAAACTTTTATTTTTCATGGACAATTAAGGGTCCTTTTCTTCAAGCTGTGCTGTGCTTGTATTTATCAAGTGTAATACCTCTGAATTGGTCATCTGCCACTGAATGTGGTCTGGCAATCTCCTCTGCTTTGCAAAATGGGGGAATTGACCTTGCCTGGCTGGGCTGATGCCATCCTCATATGCAAACTTCAGCCATGGTGTTGCCATCACAGTTGGCCAGCCGGTCTCACTGGGGCAGGAATTGGGGCGTGAGCTGATCAGGTGAGGTGGTGACATACCAGAGCCATGCATACAACGCACAGAGGTCTAATGAAGGGGATAATGCCACCCGGATAAAAAAGGAAGTCTGAAAGCTTTGCTTTTATTTGGTCAAAGAAGGGACACTTTTTGGGGAGACACTGAAATACATACTGCTGAAGCTCTTTTCTTCTTCAGTACAACTTTTCTGTTCAAATAATGCCTACCAGTCTGCTTACAGATTGGCAGAAATGGCACTGCCTGTGGCCTTATGGAGGCAGAGAGGGAGAGAAAGAAACAAAAACTGCAGCTGTAACACACAGCTGTAACACACTCAGGAACTGAATGATGACTTCTTTTACCTTTAAATGGTATGCTGCCTCATTTTGAGGGCAGAGACCTACTAGAAAATGGGGCTTGCCTGGGGTCACAGCCCATAGAACTCCCACAGCTGTGACTTTCAAGTGTTTGTTACACAAGGTGCATTTAAAACACCATCTCTTTTGTGCATTCCCTGTGGTCTGTGGAAAATAATAGTTACATCTTGAGAGCTCTACTTTTTAAACTATTGTTTCACCTCTTTTTATTGTACTTTGCTTTTTGTAGAGTGAGACGTTTTCTGTATGTAAACAAGCATGGGTTGCTTCCAGCAGTGTACAAATAACTGCAAAGAGAGCATCTGTGACTTCATATTCAGATATCTACACTTTATTACTTATATTACCATAGATCCTAAGAACCTTGAAGGAGACTAGTTCTTTGGTATGATTATACTTAATAACCATAAATGCCTTGTAAAACCCTTGAAATGCCTTGAAAACCGTGAGTGCATGTAGCTGTGCTTGTGTGCGTGTGTTTGTGTGCAAATTTACACATATCTGTGGCCACTCTGTGAAGGCATCTGGTTTTCCAGACAATTTTACAAAGCTGTTTCTTGGAGTTTGAACACATCAGTAACTGGACAGCAAGGGGGGGGTTAGAAAACAAAAGTACTTTTCCTGGAAACCAACGCTTTTCCCCTCGCGAGTTTTATTGGCAAGGCTGGCAACCAATAAAGACATTCCTTGGCAGCGGGAAGAACATAATGGCCTGGACACAGCTGGCATCGCTCTAGCGCTCACCTCCGCGGCGAGCTGCGCCCCGCGGAACGCGCCCCGCCGCCCGCCGCGGCGGAGGGGTCCGCGCGGGGCCCGGCCGATCCCCGCGTGTGCCGGGGGAGAGGGAGCGCGGCCGGCCCCGGGAGCGCCGGGGCGGGCAGGGCCCGGGCAGGTGCCCGGCGGGGCCCGGCCGGGGCGGGCGGCGGTGGCGCGGGCGGCCCGGGAGGGGGAGCCCGCGGCCCGCGCAGCGCCCGCCGCCGCGCAGGTGCCCGGGGGGCCGTGCGGAGCCGGGCGCGGCGGCATCGCCGCTGCTTACCCGGGAAAAGCGGCTCCGCGGCTTCCCTCGCTAGCCCCCCACGCGGGCATCGGCTGCTCCAGGGCGGGCGTCCCCCCGCGCAGCCCTTCGCGGAGGGCGGGAGGCTTTGGAGTGGCCCCCGCCGAGGGCCGCCCGCGGCGGGGCAGCGCCCGGTCGTGGCTCTCAGCGAGGCTGAGCGCCCTCACCACCACCCCCCAACCGCACCCCCACCAATTCTGCCGCACGCCCTCCCGAGGAAGCTTCCAGCCCTTAAAAACGAGTATGGGAAAGGCAGGCAATTATGTATCCAGGGGCTGATCTCTATCTGCTACCTAATGACTTGCCAAGTACTTATCACTTCCCAGACTAGGAACTGTCGCTTCATTCTAATGTAAATAAACCCTTTATACAAATAAGTCTCTCGTCTGCTAGAGCATAGGTGGAGATGGAGCAGGACGGGGCTGCTGAGGTTCATACTCCCAGCTTCGTTGCTCCCTGTGTGTTTTCATTTATACGGATCCAGAGAATCCAATGGATTGAGCCCCCCTCCGCCCTCGCTGCCCCTCCCAGAGAAAGGAAGGAAATAAGGGAGGAAAAGGAACACAAAAGGGACAGGGGACCTTGGCAAGTAAAACAAAAAAAAAATTAAAAGTTCCATGTCTGGCTATCCTCTTGTCTGTTTAGGAGTGAATTTTTAACACCCTCAGCGGCTCAGATGATTGTGTTTTACCATGGGATGCCAAAGCCAGAGAACCTACCAAATAATTAAAGGTTTCTTGCGCACTTGTGGGTTTTTCTCTGTGTGTGTGTACGTGTGTGAGTACTTTACAGAATGTACTTTGCAGCAGAAACAACACAAGTAGTTTCCCACAGCCTGGTTTTTGTCCTTATTGTCACACAGTGCCGCGACATCTCTGAGACACAACCTGTGTCACAGAGAAAAATTACGTGTACGGCCGGGATAATTATCGTGGGAAGATTAAGTGCTCCGTCCCCTTGATGGGCTCGATTCTTCTTTGTAAACTAAATGCAAAATTCGCTTCTAGATACCGAATATGAAGTTAAGGTATTTCTCTCGTGAATGGCCCGAAGCCGATGTCTGCTGCCTCATTTACTGCAAAGGATAATTTATTTCTCAGCCAAGAACGAGAGGCTAAAGATGCCACAGGGAGTGGAGTGCTCATTTTCGTATTAAGTTGTGTTATTTATGTCTCAAGATAAAAGACGCCCTGGATTGGAAAACTACCTCGGCATATTTATGGAATTGTTAACCCACGTTAATAAAATAACAATCACGCCTGTTTGCTTAACTGAGTGCCACGCAAAATAGACCTTGCATGTAGAGCTCGGCTTAATTGCACAGGCTTGAGATGGCAGCGGTGCTGGTGCAAGGACGAGAGGAAGGGAGGGAGAGAGGAAGGGATTGCTGTCACCCATGTCTAGCGGCTGCAAACAGAGAGGAGACTTTCGGCACAATAGATTTTTCTACTAGTGAAGCACAGATTTGATGCGACCAACTTCCCTCCCTGCCCCTCGGAAGGATGTCAGCGGTTTTCTCCTGTGGTGTCGCCCGCTGTTTAAAAAAGCTGCATCCTGAGATGCGAAGAGAAGGGCTGGGTGTCTGGTTTTTGGAGTTACAGGGACACTGCTATGATGTTGAAGCCAAAAGAAAGGAAGAGAAGCGAAGCTCTGACTACGACTTAACATAAACAGCCTGGGGCTGGAAAGCAGTTCACCTCCAGGTCTTTGAGAGGAGAGAGGACAACGCACAGCGAATTATTTGGGTCCACCTGGGCTTTGCTCAGGTCAAATACTAGTCCCGCCGCCTACCGCTCCGATGTCATCTTTCTTTCTGACATCTTCCTAAATAAGGTTCCAAATGACCACACACACGAATCCTCGGAGGGTTTCAAGACAAACGCGGCTGCCCTGGCCTGGGTCTGCCCACCGGGGCTCCCGCCCCGCCGCCGGCGTCCCTCGCCCGGCTTCGGGGAGGAGGCGGCAGCGGCCGTGTCCCCCTCCCGGGGGCCGGCGGGACAGGGCCCCACGGAGGCCGAGGCTGCTGCCGTCCTGCTCCGCTGCTCCGGCACAGCCAGGCGGGGCAACTCCCGCACGGAGGCCAGGCTGGCTAAGGCGACAGAAGTAGGGCGCCTGGGAGAGGTAGCCCTGCCGTAGGACCTGGTGGGTGAAGACCAAGCACCAAGGACTCTTTCTGGGTGGTATCCAAAGATAGCAGTGGGGAAACTGATCTTCCTGCCTCCCTAAACTCTTTCTTTCCCCCCAACACGCACGCACACAAGTCCCAAATTCCACTATGAACCTTCACAATGGTGACTTTTGTGCCTCCAGCAGAGAAAGCAAAGTCCTGCTGGGTTGAGGTCTGTAACTTAACACACGTTAGTTGCGTCAGCTCGCAATTATAGCATCAGAGTTGCTATTGCAAAATATATTAGATGCAAAATACTTCGGATTAATGCCCCCCTCCCCTCCCCTTCCCCTCCTTCCCTGTACTGAAACCTCTCGGTGTTACTCCAACCTTTGCCTGTGAAACAACTTCGCTACCGTCAACATTGTCCAGATAAAATGAAAAAGCCACTGAAGGCTCCGGCTTTCGGAGCGGCATGTTACGGACACTCAAGGGAACGCGCGGGAAGCCCACGGAAATTGTTTTTAACGGCAGGTAATGCCGTGGGAAAACCGGATGACCCGGACTGCATGAAAACGTGCTAAAATTCCGTTTTTCTTTTTCTTTTTCCATTTTTTTTTTCTCCTCAGCAAAACAAGAAAGAGGTTTTGAAAATATAAAGTGTTGGAATTGACATCTAGTCCAGTGCTTGCGCATTTATTAATTCTGCCGTGGTGGGAGGATAGGGAAAAAAGTGCAATTAGGCAGGAGCAGGTGAAAGATTCCAGACGATGAAATACAACAGGCTAAACGGGATAATGTATTCACCATTAAAGAACTGACATTTACTACCAAAAGGAGACCCGTTACGTTTGAATATGAAAAGGAGCAGATATTAAGCTACATAAATTACCTTCTTCACATGACTGGAATCTCATTTTAAATACTTTTTTTTTAAATAACCAAGAGATCGGTGTTTGAGAGGAAAAGCCATACCTGCTAAAATACCACCAAGCAAACGCGCCTTTAGCACGCTCCAAAGGCATGATCCCCAAAGCAATCGATCACAGTAAAAAGTGTGGAAAGGGGGTTTCAAATCAGTGAAGCCAAAAGGGTCTTTTAACGTATTCTTAGTGTCATAAGATCAGGATGGGCAATTAATCTCACTGAAGCACCACACACACGTCTTTCCCGTTCAAATTCCACCCCTTAAAATTATTTCAGCATGATCCTTTTAGCTGACCTGTTATTAACGCTAACGAAGTTTCAGAGGTGTGGGCTACAAAACGAATGAAGAGCACTGGGTTGTATTTCGAATATCTGAAGTATCGGTAAAATAGACTAGTCTGAAACAATGTATACTAATTTCACCTGTGTTTAAAGTAGGAAAAGAAAATCTTCATTCTTCAAATATGAGACAATTGAAATTAAAATTTAAAAAACAAATAACCAAGCCCTCACTCTCTGTTTCCTTTGAGTTCCCGTTAAAGTCTTATTCTGATTAGAGCCCAAATGTTATTTCAGATAGTTAGACAAAGGCAAAAATAAAATCTTCACAGGAGAACCGGCCAAGCAGTTAAGGGAACATTCATTTTGTTCTTCTTTTTCTCCCCCCCTCCTTTTTTTTTTTTTTTTTCTTTTGACACACCTGACATACCACGGAATCCACTCTTAAGTAGAATAGCAACAAAATTGTGCCTTCTCCGTCTCAAATGAGTAAAGAGATAAAGCAAGGATCCCCTCTCCGTATCACATCCAACATCACGTAAAGATTACCTGAAGGGGCGAGATACAGACCCCGTTCAGAGAAACGCGCCCGTGTTTATAAACAGCAGAGGCAGCGGGCGCTTCATTTGCAGAGAGAGGAAAGCCTTGGCGGCTGATTAATAAAAAGGAGCTTTGGAGGACTCGTCAAACCCTTGTCAACCGGAGGAATGCAATCTCTTCAGAAGCGTTTGGTCAGGCAGGCAGCTGGCTGCAGGCAGGGTGGTGCAGGGGCATCCCACCACACACACACACACACACACAGACACACACACACACACACGCGCACACGCACACACGCACACGCACACGCACACGCACTTTCCTCGCCGTCCCCGCGGGCGTGGGGGGTGGAAGGCAGCTAGGGTGAGCTTCTGGCCGGGCGGACAGGGAGCGAGCCGGCACACCGGCATGGAGCCGGCCCGCCGACACGAGCGGCAGCCTGGAGGGAATGGGAGGAGAGAGACCGACCGGAACGTGTGGAGAAGATAGACCGAGGAGCTTACACACACACCATCAACAACAATAACAAAAGAAAAAAAGGATAATAATAATAATAATAATAATAAATAAAAGAAGTAACATTCGTGGAGAAAACAAGCGTGGAAGAGCGCGGGGTGCGCGCGTGGGTGGAAGGAGCTCCGGGGGAACCATATACACACACAAATATATATATATATGCATACATACAAATATACTTATATATATACATATATATCGGTGAGGGCATGCGCATGGTGCGTGTACCCGGGATGCGTGTGCGAGGGCGACCGCGCGTGTAAGGATGCGAGTGTGTGGGCGAGCGAGCGAGGTGTAGGGCAGTGGGGGTCGGGCGGTGTCGTCGCGAAAGATGCGCGGGCGCTGGAGGATCCCCGCGGGTGCGTAGCGGCCTGCGAGAACGCGGGGCTCTGCGGCACTCAAGGCATCCGCGTGTGCTGCCGAGTGTGTGTGGCCGGTTCCCGAGCGCTACAACTCCCGGAGCTGCTGTGGGGATTTTTTTTCCTTCTTTTTTTTTTTTTTTTTTTTCCTTCCCCTCGGTCTCTCCTTTTTTATTTTTTTTTCCCTCCTCATTCAGAGCCCGGGGTGTCTCCCGGCCCTCATTGGCCGGCTCAGCTCGGCGGGGCGGAGCTTAGCCGCCTGCAAAAGGAGGAAAAGGAAAAAAAAGAGAGGAAAAAAAAAAAAAAAAAAGGAGACCGAGAGAGGAGGGAGGGAAAAAAAAAGGAGAAAACTGTAAGTGCGTAAAAAAGTTCTCGCCGTGGTGACGGATGCTCAAAAGTTCAGGAGTTTTTCCGATGCTTCCCAAAGCAGCCTGCGACTGAAAAAGAGACTGAAAAAAAGCGAGAGGGAGAGAGAGAGGGAAACTTTGCACTGGGAGATCGGGAAGGTGGATTTTTTTTCTTCTTCTGCTCGCTTAAAAAAGCCAACAAAACACATCCCTCTACTTTTGTCCCTCCTTTGCAGACAACTTGTTGCAGATCCCCGTGGAACAAGGAACTGGGAGCGTGGGAGCCTCTTTGCAAAGGTTTTATTTTCTTAATACTCTTTCTGCGTTTGGAAGTTGCTTTCTCCGCTGCGATTACTTTTTTTTTTTTTTCCCTCCGCCGTTTTCTTTTTTAAAACATTTTCCCTCTTTTTTTTGTCCCCCTCCTTTTTCCCCCCCTTTTTTGATTTTTTTCCCCCCCTCCGCGTGGAGCGCGGGAGCTCGCCGGTGGGCTTTCCTGGGCGAAGAAGAGGAGGCTTTCGGCTCTGCCGTCGTTATTCTTCCTCCCTTTTTCCGCGCTCCGCCGGGGGGGTGGGGGGGTGGGGGTTGCCCGGCCGCCCGGTCCAGCTCGGTCCGCGGAGCGGCGGAGGGGTGGAGGGGGAAGGGACGCGCTGTTTGGTCCGGCGGGGAGGGTGGGGGAAAGCTGACGGGAGGACATGCAGGCTCGCTACTCCGTGTCCAGTCCCAACTCCCTAGGAGTGGTGCCGTACCTCGGCGGAGAGCAGAGCTACTACCGCGCCGCTGCGGCGGCGGCCGGCGGGGGCTACACGGCCATGCCGGCCCCGATGAGCATGTACTCCCACCCGGCCCACGAGCAGTACCCAGCCGGCATGGCCCGAGCCTACGGGCCCTACACGCCACCGCCGCAGCCCAAGGATATGGTGAAGCCGCCCTACAGCTACATCGCCCTCATCACCATGGCCATCCAGAACGCTCCCGATAAGAAGATCACCTTGAACGGGATCTACCAGTTCATCATGGAGCGGTTCCCTTTCTACCGGGACAACAAGCAGGGCTGGCAGAACAGCATCCGCCACAACCTCTCCCTCAACGAGTGCTTCGTCAAGGTGCCCCGCGACGACAAGAAGCCCGGCAAGGGCAGCTACTGGACCCTCGACCCCGACTCCTACAACATGTTCGAGAACGGCAGCTTCCTCCGCCGCCGCCGCCGCTTCAAAAAGAAGGACGCCGTCAAGGACAAGGAGGAGAAGGACCGCCTGCACCTCAAGGACCATGCCCCGCCGCGCCCGCCGCCGCCCGCCGCCGCCGCCGAGCCCGAGGGCGGCCCCGCCGGGGGCAGCGCCGCGCCGCCGCCGCCGCCCGTCCGCATCCAGGACATCAAGACGGAGAACGGCACGGCCTCGCCGCCGCAGGCCGTGTCCCCCCCCGGCGCCGCGCCACCGCTCGGCGCCGTGCCCAAGATCGAGAGCCCCGACAGCAGCAGCAGCCTCTCCAGCGGCGGCAGCCCTCGCAGCACCCTTCCCTCCAGCCGCTCCCTCAGCCTGGAGGCCCCCGAGCCCCCGCCGCCCCCACCGCCGCCCCCGCCGCCGCCCCACCACCACGGCCCGGGCTTCAGCGTGGACAACATCATGACCTCGCTGCGGAGCTCGCCGCAGGCCGAGTTGGGCTCCGGCCTCCTGGCCCCCACCGCCGCCGCCCCGCGCACCGGCATCCCGCCCGCCTTGTCCCTCGGGGGATACTCGCCGGGACACAGCTCCGTCTACGGCTCGCCCTGCGGCCAGGCGGCCGCCGGCACCGCCGCCGGCACCTACCACTGCAACATGCAGGCCATGAGCCTCTACGCGGCGGCGGGCGGCGCCGACCGGCCCGGCCACCTGCCCGCCGCGGCCGCCAGCCCCGCCGAGGACCCGCTGCCCGAGTACGCCATGCCCTCGGGCGGCGGCGGCGGCGGCGGTGGGGCGGGGGGCGGCGGCGGCGGGGCGCTGGGGCACGGAGGGCTGGGCGGCGCGGCGGGCGGCCACCAGGAGGGGCACCACCCGCACCCGCACCAGGGCCGCCTGGCCTCCTGGTACCTCAACCAGGCGGCGGCGGCGGCGGCGGCTGCGGCGGCGGCGGCGGGGGAGCTGGGCCCGCTGGCGGGCGCGGCGGGCTACGCGGGGCCGCAGCAGGGCTTCGCCGCCGCCCCGCGAGAGGTCTTCGAGGCGCCGCGGCTGGGGCTCAGCGCCTCGCCGGGCGGCGGCGGCGGCGGCGGCGGAGGCAGCGGGGCAGGGGGCGGCGGCGGCGGCGGAGGGGCGGGGGGCGGCGGGAGTTGTCAGATGGCCTTCCCCGGCAGCCAGCCGCTGTACCGCACCTCCGGGGCCTTCGTCTACGACTGCGGCAAGTTCTGAGCGCGCCCCGTCGCGGGGACACCACGGGAACTCAGTTCCGCTCCTCTCCGCTCCGCATCGCGCCACCGGCCCTCGCAGCGCCCGCGGAGGGAAGCGAGCGCATCGCGAAAAGCTTTTGTACAGAGACAGCCCCAAAGCATGTCTTGGTTTGTTAAAGGACAGTGTTACTCCAATAACACGTAAGTTTTTTTTTTTTTTCTAATTGCTTTGAGAAATACTTTTTTTTTCCCGACCCCCATTCCGCGCTCTTCCCCGTCCCTTAAGGTATTGTCATGCCCCGTGTTTAAAAGGGAGCGAAAAGTCCAGCGTAGAGTACCAGCTTCTTTCCCCCTCCCCTTCCTCTTCTACAAGGACTTGTTTTAAAATGTAAATTGCGACATAGTAATTTATTTTTAATTTGTAGTTTGATGTTGCGGACCAAACGCCAGAAAGTGTTTCCCCCTTTCCTGAAAAGTGACGTTATAATTGACTGAAACGCTGATTTTTTTTTTTCACTATATATAAAAAGGGAAACTGTATTAATCTTATTCTATCAATTTTTTTTTGTTGAAAATATTCTGAAGGTATTGCATTGTTTGTTTATTAATAAATTACCATTCAGTTGGAATGATCCTTTATACGTCTGTATATTTTAATGCTTTCATTTAGAGAAAGAGAAAGAAAGAGAGGGAAAAGGGATTTCATAACTAACTTTGTCGCTGGAACAGCTTGTTCCCCACCGCACAAATTCCAAAGACCATTTAGGAACTGCCAGGTCGAAAAATCCCTTTTCAGTCTCTTCTGCAATATGTTCCACTTAGTCAGCTCGCCTTATCCGCTAGGAAAAAACTACTTTCCCATGGCAGCTCTGAGTTGGCAAATAAACAAACACGTTTTCTTAGCAATTAATGGCAAGACCTGGAAACATTTGACCATACACAGTGGTATGGCGACATTACGTTGTTTTAAATAATATGCCTACGTAAGGATATATTAAGTGATAACTCCGAGGTAGAAGTGCATGCATTAGGTTCCAGACCATGTGTAACTGTATATGTCGAGCTATTGATCGATCTTTGTGTGTTTCAAATATATTTATATCTAGGATTTACATATGTACCTATATATTTAAAGAAGGATTACATATTTATTTATAGTTTCATATACATATTGCATATTTTTCTAAACTCCAGTGTATAGCAGATGCCAAATAATCTGTACTGTCTGTACTCTTAAATATAGTGCCAGTGTATAAATTACTGCCATTTAGGATTGATAGCAAAGCGTGCAATCGCATCAGTGAAGCTGCTTCTGTAATACATAAAGTACTGTTTTATTTCAGGGGGAGAAAAAAGAGTAGTTGTGTTAAAGGGTACTTGTACAGTCTACCCTGTACACCTTTGCAGCTCTGCATTACTCCCGTCCTTCAGGGACTTTACTGGTCTGCTGGTCTGTGTCTCAATTGCTTGGACAGATTATTTAAAAAATATTTTGTATGGGCGAATTTTTCTTATATAGTTGCTTGGGTGCTGTTTTGGTTTGGGTTTCTTTTTCTTTCTTTTTCTTCTTTTTTTTTTTTTTTTTTTTCCTCTCCTTACCTCCCTCAGTTTTCCTCAAATGGAAAAAAATATATATTACAAGGGTAGCAAATGAGTGCTGCACAGACTGGCATCTTGTCATATCAAGAATCCTACCTTCTGGACAATTTACTATTAAGAACCTATGGTCAATAGGGATCACCTTCCCCTTTTGTAAGTAATCAACAAAGTGCAATAAATCCATTAACTTAAAAGAACCAGGCTTGTCAGTCAGACTTGGAAATAAGTTTATTTGGTTACAGATATTTAAGGCCTAAAATTTGTTTTCAAGATAGTACAGTTTCCTATCAAAATCTCTTATCTAAAGGCAACACTTAGCAGTAATTGCTGTTGCATTGTTAAGGGTTACGCTGTAAATAAATACAAAGGTATTTACAGTTCAACCTTATTACCTCGCTTTTGAGCTGTGCTTCCCTTCCAAAGCAATAATCCAGTGTTTAGAAAACACCTTTAGCAGATGGAATGAACAGGGGGGAGTGTGTCATCTTAGAACGTGCTGGCTTAGAATACGTTTATTTAAGTATGGCATAGTCTTTGCTTTTTAGTGCTAATACCTCTACGAAGATTACCAGGCGCCTTATTTACATTTATTTGTTTGCTAAGTTGGGTAAGAGAGCCTTAAACGCTCCATTGCTCAGTTGCGGTAAAGCTGATGAGGAGAACGAGCAAAGTTGAGTGCCTTCGCTCCGGGGACGTACTTTAATTTCTGCTCCCCGTTTTTCACCAGGAAAGGGAAATAAAACGTTACCTATTCTCGGTCGGGCTCGCTTTCTGCTCCCCATCGTCCCCCTCCCGGTACCGAGCGGGGAGCAGCTGAACCGGCGGCTCCCGCCCACCGCCGCCTCCTTGGGAGCGGGACTGCCGGGCCAGAGGCACGGCGGGGCTTTCACTGCCTTACGACCCCGCTCCCTCGCTGAAAAGGGGACCCTCGGCGGGGCAGCTCCCTCTGCCTTGGCAGACGGGTTTGCCAGCGGGTGCCTGCATAATAAGACCATTCCTGCCCCCCGTCATGTATTTAAAATAAAATTTAAAGAAGGCAGAGGGTAGAGGCGATTGAGTCTGCTATTTGCCTGTTATTTTTGTTGCGATCAGGCGCCGGTTTTCCTGTAGTTTGGGTTTTCTCAGCGGTCTGCAGTGGTAGGGTGTTTGTGGCGAAAATAAATAGGGGGGAACGCAGTTGTCAGCCCGGCTGTTTAATAACCCGTTGCATTGTCAGTGGTGCTGCTCGGCTGGGGAAGCTGGGGGGGCCGTGCGTAGCTTGAACAAGTGCCGTGTGTAATTACTGCTAATGCTCGGGGCGGTCCGCGGCCCTCTGCCGCGGGGAGGCCGCGCAACTTGCGCTACCCGTGGCCCTGGCTGCAAAAGGGCCGGTGGTGTGGGCTCGGTGGGACGGGAGGGCGGCTCGCAATCAGGGACGGGGGGAAAAGGGAAATTTCCCTCTCGGTCGCAGGTAGGTCGTGTCGAGATCTTCTGCCCCCGGAGGGGATCCCTTTCCTGAAGTGACGTGCGTGGTGGCGGCGGAGGTCACCTCCTGCTTCTCAGTGCGACGGGCTGGCTCACCGCACACGCGTGCTTCGTCTTGAGTTTTAAAAACATTGTTTTATTTATATTATTATCACAATCATAACCATAACCATAATTACAATCTTTTTTTTCTCCTCCTCCGCACAGAAATTGATCACAACGAAAATGAGATTAGGAGTGCTGGCTGTCGCCGCGGTAGGCAGTGAAAAGTGCGGACTTGGCCGCGGGAGGCTTGGCCGCCCGCCGGGCGCGCAGTTCTGTACCGTGGCTCCCTGTGCGACATTGCACGGACGGGGATCGGCAGCTCTGGGCTCTGCCGGGCCGGAGCCTTCGTCGTGAGGCATTGCGGCTGCTGCTGGGATGCGAAAGGGCCGAGCGGGCTCCCTAGAAACCTTCCCGTGCTGGGGCAGCGCAACTGGGAGGCATGGAGCGGGACATCTGCCCGCGGGCCACCATGAACTGCGGGCGGTGGGGCCCACCGTGGGGCACGAACCCTTTTTCCTCTTTGCTCACAGGAGGCAAACCCCAGCGTCCCTTCTGACCTGTGATTGTCTCCCAGCAGAAATGGGCCTGCCCTGGATGCCAAAAGAGATGCGGTGTGACCTTGCACAGCGGTGGGCACGGGACATGCGTCCGGGCAGCAGCTGAGAGGTGTCCCTGTAAGGCCTCGACATCTGTGGTGGCAGCCCCTACAGCAAACGGGGACATTTGGCCCCAGCCATGCCTGCGGAGAGGTCATTTAGGCGCCAGGTTAGCACGGCGCTTTGTGGGTTTTTTTTTTTAGCTCAAACTGATTTTTTATTTTTGCAAACTGTTGCTTTGCTTTTCGTCTATAAAACAAAACAGGGTTTTTTTTGTTTGTTTGTTTTTTCTTTTCTTTTTTTTTTAATAGATTTGAGGAACCATTCTATTTATATGATGGTTCTGGTGGTTTCTCATTTGTAGTCGCTCATCTGTCACTTAAACTGTGGAAAATGTAGAGAGGAGGAATATTCTCCTTTCTAAGTTTCCTCCTTAGAATTTCTTCTTAAAGTATTTACAGTTCCTATTATGTTCTGCAAAGGTCATAATCAAAAATAGCAGAGAAATGTGTGCAAATAGTCGAGAGGGCATGGATTAAAACCCCTTCCCTACTGCCAAAGGCCAGGTCAGATGGAGAACATGGTGGGGCTGTTTTATGGATGGAGACATTTAAGGGAGTGGTTCCAAATCTGCATTTTATGATATATGGGGTCTTTTCTGATAGCCAAGAAGCTTGTCTATCACAAAAAAGAGAAGACGTTTCGAAGTTAGCGGCTATTTTCATAGCCGGGTTCAACTACGTAATACTGTTTGTAACTCTGGGGCATTTTGACCAGCTGCTTGTACGCTGCTCTCACCTTCCCAAAAGTACGCTGCTGGAGCAGGACGAGCTTAAAGTTTCACCCTGTCCTCTGGAGGCTTGGCTTGGACGTTTCGAGCGAGTCGTGCTCGGCGCACGGGGAAGCCGGTGCGAGTTTTGCGGGAGGTGCCACTGCGCGAAAAGGAGCCGGTGGCTCCCGGTCGGGGGCTGCGCGGCTGTCCGCGCCCGCGTAAAGATGAGCGTGAGGTAAGAGTGCGCAGTCTTTATTACGTCGTTTGATTGCGTAGGCAAAAGCGTGTAGTGCCGAGGCGCGCACATGGCTCCACTGCACAGCACAGGAGAGCTGCGGTGCGGCCCCTGGAAGCTCTTCCCTGTCCACTTCCCGAAATAAACCATTTCAACAGCGACGGCTAATTGAACATTAGCTTTCAATTAATTTCACTCGTAAAGTAATTTAAACTCCTTCGCATACTCAGTCCATTTCCCTCCCGTCTCCCTGTGCTGGGACCGGGTGTGTTAGCTAAATTCATGCGCACTTTGAGATGAGCTGATATTTTGATTTGTTTTTTTCATTTTTTTTTTTTTTTTTTTTTTTTTTTTTTTTTTTTTTTGGGTGGGGGGTGTGTTGGGGTCATTTTTGTTTTGTGGATTTTGGTGGGGATTTTTTTTGGCTAGGAGGGAGATCAGTAGCACGGTGGTGGGCACTGTCAGGGCGTCCGAGGCTGAGCTGTTGCTGCGCGGGGGCGCAGGTAGCGCGCAGCCGGGGTAGCGCGGAGGGCGAGCTCGGGTTTGCGCGGTAAGCTGCACAAGAGGCTGGCGAGCCTGAGGTGTGGTGTAAGGGAACTGCTCGGAGCTCCCCGGGGACGCGCGCGGGTTTCGATCCGGTTTTTTGGCCACAAAATCACGGGCTGGGAGGGCACCCGTCATCATCATCATTCCCGTATAGTTTCTCCCCCCACCTTTTTTTCCTTTTCCCTTCTGCCTCGCCTCCCCGGCGTCTTGTCTGTTGTGAATCCGCCCCAAAGGTGATGCGGTGCCACGGTGAACGTAGCCCTCCTGGTTTAATTACGCTGGGGCTCATAAAGCCATTCGCTTCTTTCCAAAGTAATAAACAAACGTCGCGTTAGGTCAAGATTGATGGTGTCCATGCAATAAAAACGGGCCAGGTCAGGAA